AATTAATGATGTGTCACGTTATTAAATTGAATGTTACACATCCACGAAAGTAATTATATCGCGTTAAATTGTTACATGATATTTGTATCTTGTAACACACATATTTAGGTCCGAAATAATAAAATGAGTTTATCACATTATTGATCAGATATATAGATCTATATCGTGTTAATGGGGCTGTGCAATGAAATTATTTTTAGAATTTCAATGTGTACGACCACATGATCATAATTCATACATGTGTAAAATTCCTTGGCGTAAATACTGATATTGCATAGAAAAATTTCTCACCTTTGCAATTTATCAAAAATTAATAATGACTTACTTACCCGTTAAAGACCTTTTAAACTCATACCAAGCATTAGTGAAAAACTCATCAATACAACAAGATATTTACAATTTTTATATATTTTTAGCCTTGAGAAAGCAATTGACTTTTAGAAGAAGTGAACTAGTGCAAATTAATGCTATTTTCAAGAACAACTATGATGGAAGTATCGTTTTTTTAATAATGATTTAGTAAGCGTATCGAGGATGACTTAATTTGCTGTAATGATGGAATTCTGGTCTTTCTAAAGTTATTATCTGTGTGTGGCCACACAAATAACATTTCTTGATTGCACACATCAAATTTTCTGACCAGCATGTATATTAAATATATTATATCACTTTCATTGAAAGCCTTGGTTAATATATTAATGTAAAAAAAGAAAAACGAAATTTGCTTTGCTGGTATTATATTAGCCACTCTCATCGAGAGCTTTGCGTTAATATAATTATATACTAAAAAAGTTTTCTAATGATTTTTTCTGAGATTTTTTAAAATTATATTGACATTTACAGTATAAGAAATTTATTAATACATCAAAAGCATTTTATTCATATATTGAAACTTTAAGAACCTCTTCCGCCAAGTATTGGAGATTTATTCAAGAATGCGCAAAAGAAAAGAATATCGAATATCTATATCAGAAAATGGAGATTGAAGAAGGCATGAATGATGATGGTGATAATTATGATAATGCTGTTGGTATTGATCAAAATGTCTGTGGTGATGGTGCTGAGAGTGATGATGATAGTTTATACTGCAATACAGATGATGTTACGGAATCTAAAAAATCAGTTGAAGATTTGTCAATTGTAGAATTTAACAGCATTGAAATAAAAGATTTATAAATGTAAACATACCTATGCTCAAGTCAATTCTGTTATTACGAAGTGGTTGTTGATGAAATGTGTCAGAGAACTACTGACTCATTTACTTATTATTTTTATTAGTTTACTACGTCCTTTCCTAAAATGTCTACTTCATCAAGGTTGATTTGTGACTATACATGCAGCCCAAATTTGTTTGGTGATTTCAATGGTCAAAACTATTCCAATTTTGATTGTGTAACCGCTTTATGACATTGTCAAAATACTTTGGGCTCTTCATCATAATATAAAAAGGAAATTCCTATATACATTTTATTATTAATCTTTACTAATTGTTTCAAAGCAAGTTTCAAATTATTTATCTTGAAAAACACTACACATTAGAATAGCCTCATAAAGAGGATTTGAATAATGGCATTTTAATGTTCATAGCATTGATAAATAGCAAGTTATTGTAAGATATGCAACCAAAATATCTCAATAATCAGTTATCAAATTTTATGGATTACATCTCATTAAGATCTCATTTGAGTAAATTTCTAGTATCCAGTAAAAAAATACACATATTAATGATCTGCTGGATCTAATTTTCTTAAAAGAAAATTTATATAAATTTCAAATATATGAAAGGAATTGTAAACAAAATCAATTTGTTTAATTAAATTGACATTTTTGAAAATATTGAATTTAGTCACAACTATATCTAATTACAGTGATATTAAGGCCATAACGGTTCACCAGTTGAAATCTGGTTACAGCTCAAGTAATCATTAGTCGCGGCTATAAAAAATCAAAAGTATTCTGCATTTTAATTTGTATGCATGAAATGATTTAAAACAATATTTGGAAGTATAGAATATCTAAGAAGTCATTTAACAAATTAGACGATTCATTCTAGATTTTAAAAATTTTATGTGAAATCCAAATTTGAAATTTAAAATTTTAAGGCGAGTATTTGGGATACAAAATTCTGATTTGTTAGTTTCACATGCATTAAGTCATCAGGAATCCAGAAATTACACGAGATATCGATTATCAGTTATTCGCTGCACCATATCCGACCAGATGCTAAGGTTATATATCCTTTATTAGTCGCATGACATTTCCCTGAGGCTTGCTTTTCTATATTAATGTTGTACGTGAAAATGAAATTATGTGAATTCGCAATTCACATATGTGAAATTCAAATTAGCCAATCAGAATTAATTTCAATTTCACATACAACATTAATATTAATATTAATTCGTGGTCCACCAATTAAGGAAAGGATTTAATTAGTGCCGATCCGGGCAAATTTTTTAAATTTCATAGCAATAGTAAAATCAAATTAATCAAATTTTTCACACCCACAAAAAGTCACGCATTTATTATGTTACATGTGTTATTTTTTATATCAAACTATGTTAAACAAATGTGAAATATTATACATAGGCAACCCCGTTAATCCGAACCCCGTTAATCCGAAAACCCCGTTAAAATGAATAATTTTTAAAACACCAAGGCCAAACATATGTAAATTACCCCGTTAATCCGAATGTCACTAATATAGCTCTATAAACCGTAAACCGAAGAAATTTTTAAATTTTTTGAAGCCATTTATATGTAAAATTGCCCCATTAATCTGAATTTTTATAAACCGAAGATTGATCTTTATAAACCGAAGTGAAATAAAAATTGGACCAATAATAATAATATACAAGTTATACAAATACATATGTAAAAAATTATCATGGAAATAGCAAATAATAATCATAGACCTTCCTCTAGTGCAAACAAGAGGAAAAAAAAAAAAAAAAACTACTGAAAAAGAAGTTGGGGTATCAAAAAGAAAACATACGCCTATAACAATCTCACAAAAAATAGAAATATGCATTGAAAAAAATAAAGACCAAACAATAAAAAATAACCAGCTTGCATTTAAATACAATGCTGGTGAATCTACTGTTTCTGATATTCTAAAAAAGAGTGATTATTTTTTATCATTGAATCCAAATCAATTCACTGCAAATTCATATCGTGAGAGATCAACAAAATATCCAGAAATTGAACAATCATTAGCACTCTGGATTGATCAGGCAGCAAGTGATAATTGTACTTTATCTGGGCATATTGTTATTTCAAAAGCTAAAGTTTTTGCCCAACATTTTCAGATAAATGACTTCAAAGGATCAAATGGGTGGTTTGATAGATTTAAAAGACGATACAATATTTCTGAACATGTTCGTTGTGGTGAGGCAAATTCCGCACCTTTGGAAGAATTGTCACAATATCATGATAATCTCAAAAATCTTCTTAGTCAATGGAATCTTGATGATGTATACAATTGCGATGAAACTGCACTTTACTGGAAGCTAGAACCTTCCAAAACTCTTGCTAGTGGACCACTTTCGGGCACTAAAAGACCAAAGGACTGAGTTACTGTTTTACTTACCTGTAATGCTACAGGAACATCCAAATTAACACCTCTTTTCATTCATAAGTATAAAGACCCTAGATGTTTAAGAAATATTGATAAGAAAACTTTGCCTGTTTTTTATTATTGGAATTCGTGTGCCTGGATGCAATCATCTGTGTTTTATCATTGGCTTACAAAATTAAATGAAGATATGAGAAAAGCAAGACGTCACATTTTGCTTCTGC